ATCGCCGTTGAATAAGAAATGTTTCTTTCACAAGAAATGTATAAAATTACAGTACTGTATTAGACTTACGGTACCTAATTTACATACTGTACAGACGGTAGCTCGCCTAAACTCTCCGTAGCGAGGTGCTAGATGGCAGAAAGTATATATATAATTATAATAAAGTTACAATAAATTAAGTTAATATATAATTATGTATACAGTACCTAATTTATATATAATTATATGTACAGACGATACTAAACTCATTTTACCTGCCTAAACTATCCGTAGCATGGCACTGGACGGCGGAAAGTAGTTCGGCTGCCCGATGATGTTTTACGTAATTATAGGAGTTTTTTTTACCATTGTTTACGGATACCGCCACAATTTTTTCGCCGTCTTATAGGAATTGTAATTATAGGAACCCGTCTTATAGGGGGGATCTACTGTAATATGATGATGATATTTTAAATTTCAAATTACTTTTTGCCAAGAATATAGTGACATTTTTTAAATGAGCAAATAAACAAGGTAAACTTGTTTATTTGAATGAGCAAATAAACAAGGTAAACTTGTTTATTTGCTCATTCAGTGACTTAAGTACATGAAATATTTTAGTGGAAGCAGACTTCTTGTAGCAAAATGAAATGATGCAGTGAAAAGAGGATTTTGAGTATATTATTAAAAACATTTCAAATCTGAAAAAAGTAAAATGATTTTAAGTACTGTAATTTTTATACCAACCCCATTGAAAGTTTCACTCTTTATTCTTGACATAATTTTTATTGGTGGAACATGCATTTCTATGACAACCACATTCAAATTCAAACTTTTTCTTTTAAACAATCTGTTAAAGTTTAATTGTTAAGTGATAAAACTTTTAAAAATTTTATATCCAATTCCTATACAATCTGGATACCTCTACTAGTTTTTATAGAGCTTTGTTATAAATTATAGCAAAGTTATAGAGAGCATTGCAAAGGAGTGGGATGGTCCTTCAAAGGCAGTCAGAATAGTCTCTCAAGCATTTTTGTGTGGGTGAATATTGATTGTCAACTTGCTTTTCTGCTTGTGAAGTAGAAATGAATTGTGACCACAGAAACAGTTACTAACTTATACTTGTCAAAGATAAGAACATCTTCAACCAAATGTGTTTGTTTTTATCAATGTGTGATGAGAAATGGACAAAAAGCCAATATTTAAGATTTATCGACTACCACACCTTTTAAAGCAAATTTGTTACTTTTTATTAAATGAAAATCATAACTGAAATTGATTAAGAATTGAGCTATTTTTCCAGGTTTATTATAATAAAATATTTATATATTTTTAGTTATTCTAAGCAAGCTTTCTTGAATGATGTGCAGCAACCATTTAGTCTTCCTGATGGAACTCCATCCTTTAAAGATTTTATGGGAAATCGTAACAATCGTTTCACTAATCCAGAATCAGCTGGCAAGAATAGAATCCAACCACCATCAAAAATTCTTCACTTTTTCAATGCCCCTTATGGAATAAAAGAAAAATTTATTGAAAAATATAAAAACAAAAAAGTTATATTTCGAAAGTTTGTTTTAATATAAAAATGATGCATATCGACATCTAGTATCAAAAAGGTACCGATACTCTAACAAGATATATCTGGTTTAACTCCGTGGGTCAAAGGTCACAACCCTAATATATGTCAGGAATAACACAGGATAGACTAAGATACATTTTTATAACGTGTTTATGCAAACACATTATTGTTTGCTAATAATGATGCCCTACACAAATAGAAATAAATAATTGTACAGAATATTTATTTGACAACAGTTTGCTTGATGATTACACTAGTAATCCAAAAAGCCACATATTTAAATAAACAGATTCAATTGGATAATATGCAAAATAACTTAGTTGTTATTGTAACTTTCTATTCATTATACAGTTGATCCCCCTATAAGATGGTAGATACGTTCCGTTCTTTATGAATCAAGTTTGTAGGAATCACAGCCTGACACGTGTGAAGTTTACAGACTACGGCTGTTTGAAAGGTTTTCTTCCATAAAATTAATCGATTCTAGATTAATCTGACTCAACATTTCCAAAATACGTATATATTTTTTTGGAAATAATCCGTATAAACTACGCTATAAACAAAAAAAATTGTAGAATTACTTACCGAGTGTGCACCGTTCGACATTGCCGTTGCTCAAGCTTGTTTTTGTCACGGAACAGTGCAGCAAACCGCGGCCACGATTTCTGATGTTATTTTTCTGCGAAAACTTCGTTGAACTTTGGAGACATCATTAATATAAATAATTTTAATTGCCGTTGAATAAAAAATGTTTCTTTCACAAGAAATGTATAAAATTACAGTACTGTATTAGACTTACGGTACCTAATTTACATACTGTACAGACGGTAGCTCGCCTAAACTCTCCGTAGCGAGGTGCTAGATGGCAGAAAGTATATATATAATTATAATAAAGTTACAATAAATTAAGTTAATATATAATTATGTATACAGTACCTAATTTATATATAATTATATGTACAGACGATACTAAACTCATTTTACCTGCCTAAACTATCCGTAGCATGGCACTGGACGGCGGAAAGTAGTTCGGCTGCCCGATGATGTTTTACGTAATTATAGGAGTTTTTTTTACCATTGTTTACGGATACCGCCACAATTTTTTCGCCGTCTTATAGGAATTGTAATTATAGGAACCCGTCTTATAGGGGGGATCTACTGTAATATGATGATGATATTTTAAATTTCAAATTACTTTTTGCCAAGAATATAGTGACATTTTTTAAATGAGCAAATAAACAAGGTAAACTTGTTTATTTGCTCATTCAGTGACTTAAGTACATGAAATATTTTAGTGGAAGCAGACTTCTTGTAGCAAAATGAAATGATGCAGTGAAAAGAGGATTTTGAGTATATTATTAAAAACATTTCAAATCTGAAAAAAGTAAAATGATTTTAAGTACTGTAATTTTTATACCAACCCCATTGAAAGTTTCACTCTTTATTCTTGACATAATTTTTATTGGTGGAACATGCATTTCTATGACAACCACATTCAAATTCAAACTTTTTCTTTTAAACAATCTGTTAAAGTTTAATTGTTAAGTGATAAAACTTTTAAAAATTTTATATCCAATTCCTATACAATCTGGATACCTCTACTAGTTTTTATAGAGCTTTGTTATAAATTATAGCAAAGTTATAGAGAGCATTGCAAAGGAGTGGGATGGTCCTTCAAAGGCAGTCAGAATAGTCTCTCAAGCATTTTTGTGTGGGTGAATATTGATTGTCAACTTGCTTTTCTGCTTGTGAAGTAGAAATGAATTGTGACCACAGAAACAGTTACTAACTTATACTTGTCAAAGATAAGAACATCTTCAACCAAATGTGTTTGTTTTTATCAATGTGTGATGAGAAATGGACAAAAAGCCAATATTTAAGATTTATCGACTACCACACCTTTTAAAGCAAATTTGTTACTTTTTATTAAATGAAAATCATAACTGAAATTGATTAAGAATTGAGCTATTTTTCCAGGTTTATTATAATAAAATATTTATATATTTTTAGTTATTCTAAGCAAGCTTTCTTGAATGATGTGCAGCAACCATTTAGTCTTCCTGATGGAACTCCATCCTTTAAAGATTTTATGGGAAATCGTAACAATCGTTTCACTAATCCAGAATCAGCTGGCAAGAATAGAATCCAACCACCATCAAAAATTCTTCACTTTTTCAATGCCCCTTATGGAATAAAAGAAGATGAGCTAAAAAAAGTAAATATACAGAAATATTTTTATTAAGAGTTCTTAAAAATATAATTAAATCATAAGTAATTTTGTTTAGAAGGTAGACATTAGGCACTATATCTTGATAAATTTAATAATTATAAATAGATAAATATTTAATTTAGAAAGTCTTGGACGAAAAAAAAAATTGGTCCAGAGCAAGATAGAAGCCTGCAACTGTCTTGCTCTGGATAATAACTGGCAATGTATCTGCACAGTAAGCAGAAGCCTGCATCTCCTGCTTACTGTGCAGATACATTACCAGTTATTCTATCCACATCTCTGTCCAATCTTTGTCAAGAGATGGTGCCTAATGCTTGCTTCTAGGCAAAACTACTTGAGATTTACATATTAAAATAATAGCCCTATTCTGGTCCAATATAATCTGGCAGATCATTTGGCTTTAAATGAAAATCAGATTATTGGATGTTTATATTTATTTTGAATTATGAATTATATAAATTATATTTTAAATTCAGAACATGGTATTGCCTGTGAGGTAAAATATCAGTTTCATGATAATGTTTTTGAGTTTTTAGAGGATTTAGTATTATAATTTTGTTAGTGATATAAATTAGTTCATTATTTTCTTTCAAACTTTTAGTGCTAAGCTAAATCACTTAAGTATAACCACAATCATTTTAATCACAATCTAAATGTTATTTTGTTTTTAAAAACAAACACAGCTAAAACTGAATTAAATTTGATATAAATTATTTTCTAACACTACAATTTAGATTGTGATTAAAATTAAATTTTAAGTTTACACCCCAAAATAGTCATGTGATTAATGCAAAACCTAGCCTGCACTATGTCTCAGACAAGAATATAAATGATTACAGTTGTAGTCCAGTTACATGACAGACCAGAGTGCTTTAAAATTGCTACTCCAGTATCTTATAAAAGGACTTGCAGAGTCTCATCAGCAGGTACAGTTTTCAATGTACCTATTTGAAGGTCTTTGATTATGTCATATATGCAATCCTGGCATTCATATTATGCACTGCCAACAGAATTTGAGAAAAGCTATATCATTGGGATGAAGGAAGCAGGATGTTTGTTTTACTGCTTTGCTTATGATCTGGCCATTTTGATCTGATTTTAAGAAGTTTTGAGCATTGTGGATACATGAACATAAATGTCTGTTCATTTTAGACGGGCCACCAGAAGAGATGATTGCCATTTTGATCTGATTTTAAGAAGTTTTGAGGATTGTGGATACATGAACATAAATGTCTGTTCATTTTAGACGGGCCACCAGAAGAGATGATTGTCTGATCATGAGACTAGCATAAATTAAACAACTAATGTCATCATAATTGAAGTTTAGACTATTTACAAAAAGTCAAAAATAACTTTTCGAGTCTATCTTTATCCCTTATACACCACCATAGAAGTAACAGTTTTAAAAAATTGCTTTGAAGAATACTTCTTAAACCCAGGTAAAAATTGGTAGAAAATTTCACAATGTTAAAAAAAGATCAAGTGTCAGCCTTTTCTTGTAGGTTCTGACACTTTTACAATTAAAAACACAAAAGAATTCTTTACACCATATTACTTATCCACTTTTTAAACTGCTTCAATTATGAAGAAAATACATCCTGAGTTATCACAAGAATTGTAACTAATGTCATCTTTGTCTACAGTTCAGAGACAGATGAAAGTCTTGCTACAAAATCCTGTCACTTCCTGTTTCACTGGCAGGTGACTAGCACAGGCAAATTTGCATACACAGTAACTATTAGATATCCTGCCTTTAACATCCTAGCATAATCAACTTTCATTTGCAGTTATATCATGATGGAGAAACATGATTTCCTACAGACTAGTAGTGTGTCATGTTAGAATATAGTAGTGTATGGTGCTTGTATGCCTTCATGCTTGACCATATCACTGCATATATGTGCACAAGAGGAGATCCTACAAGGGACTAAAGATTACTTGAAATTGTGTCACTGTTGAACAGAAAGAAAATCATCAACCAAGATGAGAATCTCAATTTCAAAGCAGAACTAAGAGAAGATAATGTTCAAATTATGAATACCATCAAAACAAATTATTTCAGGGTCTTCTTTACAAGATAGCATTTTTCTCTTTACAAGAGAACATTCATATAAGATAATTACTTGCATTTACCTTTTGTCAAAAACTTTAACATTGCATTTAGTCATTTTCATGAAGGATTATAGAAGAATACTTATTTTTTATTTGACAATAGTGTTCAAAAACTTTGTAGATTATAAGAATGGAAAAATCATTAAAACTCGCATGATGTTTTAATTACTATAAATATTCTTCCAAAAAAAGTTAAAATATAAATAATAAAGTATATTTTATTATTTATAATTTAATACAGACATAAATAATAAAATAGATTTTATTATTTATGTCTGTATTAAATTTGGTCTGTTTTTATCATTCTTATATATTTAACTATTTTCTTTTTCTGTAATTTAAAAGCTATTTAATTAGACCATCTGAGGCTGTTCTAGATATGAGGAAACCATGTCTATTCTAATGTTAACAAACTATCTAACAGTTCATTCTGTTAGAAATGAAATCAATAATGTGTGTTTTACACTAAATTAAAACAATCAATCCAAATATCAAATGTTTTTGTTAAAAAAAAAAGGCTGTTATTAACACATATATATAATAAATAGTCAGTTTCCAACTAGTAAACATCTGTACATACAATGAACAAAATCAATATATTAAATTGAGTCCAAACAATTAGTTATACATGCTAATGGCATGATACAATTCATTGGTAAATGTAATAATATAACTGGAATAATCTCAGTCTATATAATAACAACTGGTTAATTTATGTTAACTATAATTCAGATTTCCATTATTAGCACCTCAATGAATGAATCTAACTTTCAGTCTGAATTATTATTTCAATTTATTAATAATGCTAATGTGAATTAATAAGTAAATAAAAATTAATAGTAAGATTAAAATCAATTTTACATGAAATTTCAATACTCTTTACATTTTTTTTATTATAGAATATAGTTACTACCTGAATGTGTTCATGAATATTTACTATTAAAATATCATAATTAGTTAGTGTTTTGTTGCATTTACAATGCAACTTTTGTCCGAAAAAAGGCTCAAAAAATGTCCCCGTGTCTTATATGTGAAGTTTCAATCTCTCGTAGACTAATGAATTTTTGAAGTGGCCTTCAGTTATGTAGGGTACAGGTAATCTGTGCCTGATCTAACTCTAATCAAACAACAACATTTCTATACAAAACATGTTATCTTTTGCTGTGGCTAGCAGCTTCTGCATGTATTTGTGCAGAATATTTTAACATAAATGATCTCTTTTAAACTCCTCTTTTTCCCTAATAAATAAAAGCGTGCTTTCTAATTTTATTGTTTTTTTATAACCAGAGTTCATAAAACAATTTGGGGTCAATTACCAAAGATATGGGATAGCTTAAATACACTAAATACTGTTTTCAAAATTATTTTGTGCTGAATTGGTGGTGCATCTAACATGCCATAAAATATGGTAGTCAAAATATTAAACATAGGTTTGAAGTGCAATATGCCTAAAAAGTAATCCTATATTGTTTTATGGTATGTATTTATACAAACAGTAACTGATTAGAATATACATACATATATAATATTATTTAGGATTATATATTACCATTGGGAAATCATCATCATTATCTCCATTATTTTTATGTTTGACTTGGAAGTCCCAGAATGGAACTCCATTATAAGCTGATGACTACCTGTGGTGTATTATCATATTTTTTCTGAAATTCAAGCAGAATTTATATTGATGGGTGTAAAGAAATTCAGTTTTATCTTGAAACTTTATTAAATTTGTAACATCAATATATTTAATATTTAACCAAATGCATTAATTCTAGGTTTTTGAAGAGGCTGAAGTTAAGCCACCTGTATCGATTAAAATGTTTCCATCAAAAAGTAAGTTTTAATTAAATTTACTAATTAAATTGAAATAACTATTGTTATGATTTACTAATAAATTCAAAATTTTGAAAATACATTAAGGTATTTTTTAATTTAAAATTTATTTATGTGAAACTTGTAGTCTTTTGGATATTAGAGGATTTTTAATTGTTGGAATTTTGTAATAAAGAAACTTTTATAAATAAAACTGAAGTTCTTAATAATATAAATTTAATGTGTTGTTGATCTTTTAATTTCTTATTTAAATTATAGCTGAAAGAAGTTCTTCCGGATTGCTTGAATTTGAAAAACTGTCTGAAGCTCTGGAGGCTTTAGTGATGTGTAATCACACACCAATTTCAAACCAGGGTAAGGGTAAGCATTATATTATTAATATACTGAGCTGAAAATAAACATCTATATAATTTTCTGTAAAATTATTTTAACTATGCATTATTTATAATTAATAATGAAGTTGTAAGATTTTCAAGTACAGGCATCTCTTGTATAACATGGTAGGTAGTTGTGTTTCAAAAAAGTGCTGTTTTGTGAATCCATGCTATACAAAACAAAGGACTAATGCAAAACACAGGGTTATATTCTAGAAGTTAGCAAAAGTTTGCTTTTTTTTTTTTTTTTTTTTTTTTGTTACTAAGAGAAATATGTTTATTAAAGTAATTGATAATTTATTTCTGATCAGTAATTAACTAACAATCAAAATTAAAAGTACTGTATTACGTGTTAATATTAATTTTAGTTAAATGAGATCATTTTTTTTTTACAAAGTAACCTTATCATCTCAGCTTTTTTGTTGATCTTGATCAGAAAGATCTGCAACATTTTCATATTTTTTATTTTTATGACAAAAAATTTTTATGGGTGACAAAATAAAATTGCTATTAGTCATGACCCCTCTAGAACAAATTTTTTTGCTCTAAAGGGGTCACGTTTGTTCAGTTGAGTACCAAGTGACTTTTTTCCAGAATTTGTTTGAATAACGAATTTTTCGAGTACTGAGATACCATTGTTCATTATTTTATGAATGCTTGCTTGCCTACAGTTAAAAAAATGTTTAAATAAACAAAACATGTAATATACATGTTTTGTTATTTTAGTTTGTAATTTTAGTTAGGTTTAACATTGACAAAAATTCAATGTGACGTGACAAACATCAGAGAAAAATTTCACCTTGGGATAGGTTAATCTATAACGAGTAATTATTTATTGTAACATTGTCACAATGCTAAGCTGCAATTTTTAATCATATTTTTAATTTAATTAATTTAAAATACATGCTTGCCTCCTCAAATTAGTAGTGCTTTGCTTATACATGGTACTTTTCCTTTAATAATAGTGTCGTGCTGGTCATCTATTAACTCCTTTCATGGGAAAGTTTTGAATTGAAATAACGTGACTTCCAGTTTTCATTGAAAGTTTGTATATAGTTAATCAGGACCTCCTGCCCTTAAGGTTTCCATCTCTGGTCTCATTTTTAACTTTGTTCTTGAGATTAAGGAAAGATGGATGGACGACAGTGGGAATTTATAATTTTTCAAATTGCAGCCCAAAAACAAAATACATTGGGTGTTAAAGGCTAAAATCTGAAAGAAATGATGACAACACTTGATTGATAGGAAAGATGGGACAAGGAAGAAAAAAATTGTACTATCAGTTTTCATTAAAGAAAACCTGACAAAAGGCACAAAGCAAATTGAAAATTTCAATAAACTAAAATTTGTGGGCAAATTTGAGACAACACACATGTTTGCTTGAATAAAAAAAATTGAATAACTGAGTTTACTCTTAAAAATTGTGAAATTTTGTATGGGAATATCACCAATTTTCAAACTGTGTTGTAGAAGTACTGTTTTATACAAAGGATACCTGTATTTGTAATTTTGCTGTTTCTTGGAAGTTCAGATTTCTAGGAATGGAAATTTTTAATGTTTCCCATTCCATATTCAGAAACAGTAGATTAAAAATTTCAGTCTCTGTATGTACAAAAGCATTTTTCAGCTACATTAAAAATGTATCTCAAACCATTTTTCAAAATTTGAGTCTAAATTAGAGTTTCTTATACTATAATCCTGTAAATAATCACACAACAAAATTTGGCTTTGCAAAATCTTCAGCAACTGTTTGTGAAGGTTGTCACTTTAACCTGAAATGTTTGTCAGATTATCCAATACTATTTATCAAAAGTACAAAAACCATTTTGATTTAACCCAGCGTGAATGGGGTGAGAAATTGTTACACCAGCTATGAGGTGGGTAGGAGATACCCGATACTGTAATGCCAAATGTTTGATATTATAATTGTGTATTAAGTATTTTTTTATTTGGGATGATGATAATAATAGTATCCATTTAACAAGATGAGTAAATAAAATACTACGTTTTAGATTGTTATTTCAATAAAAAAAAAAAAAAAAACACTTTTCAAAGTGTCTATATTTTCTTTGAAAAAAAGTACAAGTTTTGGTAGTTTAACATTATTTCGTATAAAATTTGAACAAAGTTACAACTTATTTGGTTAATCAACATAACTATAGTATCTTCTAATTATAAAAATAGAAAAAAAAAACTAAAAGGTCTTATGAGATCAATTAGCACAGCACCAACATTACACCTACAAATCAGCACAATCTTTGCACATAAAAATCATGTGCTCCATACATATTGGCTTCTCACACTTTGAACAGCAATGTTTTGTTTTTGTTTTCCTTTTTTTTTTTTTTTTAGTACACACCTGACATATTTACCAACCGTTTTTTGGGGAACTGGTGATGAAGATTCTCTTAGTTGATCAGCAATCCTCTTTCAAGTTTCCTTTGGAAGATGTATGTTTTGTTGTCTAATGCGAAGAATATCATTTATCAGATTTTAATCCAAATTATGAATGAAGTCTCGACACAGTTCCGAATCATCCAAAAAAACCCTCCTGCTCCGAATCGTTTTCTTCACTTTTTTGAGAAACGTTATTAATCTCTTCTTCCCTCTTGGAGTCATAGGAACTAGCACTTGAACAGTTTTCTAAAAATTCTTGTAGCCGACGTTCATTTTCTTCATAAGACATCTTGAGAAATCTCAAAATAAAGAATACTATAAATAACTATAACTCATAAACTTACTGTAAACTCAAAAATGTAACACTGACTACGAGGTCAGGTGTGACATACCCCAGCCACCTTTGTGCATATGTATCTCCCATTAAACTCAACACTGCACCTTGCCCTCCCTTACCTCCAGCTACTGTGAAAACGGGATTTGCATGGCAATGATAACATTAAATAATCTGCGTTTAAAAACTTCTTGGGTATGACATACCTAACCTCACTCGCGTCGGGTTAAAATAGTTAATTAAAAATAAAAATCACATTCTGGATACATAATAGGGAAAGAAATCATTTTGCTGTAATCTGTTACTACTATTCAATTAAATCTTTCCGTAATCAGTCTCATTCTACTACTATTACTTTTTCAAACTTTGCATTGCACATGCCATCATGTGAGGTAATGTTAGCAAAGTTTTTGCTCTTATATAAATATAATAGTTTAATTACTAAAAATAAAAGTTTTAATAAAATTTTATTACCATCATTCATTAGCATTTTACTATAAAATATGTACACCCTTGAGTTATATACTGTTACTGCAGATTGTGTCCTGAACAATCGGATCCTCAAGAATTAAATTCTGAAATCAATAAAACAAAAATTTTCTTGAGAATTAGGAGAGACTTTAAATTCTTGAGAATATTGAGATTTAAATAAATTGATTATTTATAAAGGACACTAACCAGAAAAAAATTATGCAGAAGAAATATTAAAAAGTAGGACTAGAAGATATAAGGTTGTCTCATATCTATTTTATTTTTTTAAATATATCAAAAATTAATTGTATTTTTTTCTACATTTACTAATGTTTTATTAAAATAACTTTTAAATACACATGAGCAATCTATTGATTTATATGACAAATGGGTCCTTTGTTTTGTCTCACAAATTTCAGAAATGAAGTTTCTTTTGTTTTGTGTTGTTTTTGGTTTTATGCAAAATAGAGCATTTTTCTGTGAGGTTCCACAAATATTTACTTTTTGAGCTTTTTGAACAAAATTATTAATTTATTTTAGTTCATTATGAACTGAAATAACTTAATAATTTTGATTGGCTCCAAGCTTTGTAGAATTGATTCTTCAAATTTCCAAGACAAAATTCGTACTCAAGATCTTTTCTCTTATTATGTATTGAAATGGGCAGAACAGTATTATTTAAATTTTCATTATTATACAATATGTTCATTATGCTTCTTGCTATATTTGTTATACTCTTTTTTTTATCACTGATTATTGTAAAAACAAAATATCAGTAACTCTGAAAAATGTTGAAGATGTCACGTCTTGCAGTATCAAATATTTAGCCAAGATTTAATTCTGCAAAAATAAAACAAGCACATCTAACTCATTAGTATTCAAAGCTGCTTTTGTCCTAATAAATGGTAATTGATAAAATTATAATAATATATATTGCATTTATTCAATATTTGACAAAAATGTCATTTTGTTTCTAGAATTAGACATTTTTAAATTGTATCTTTGTGCATAACAATGAGAATTTTTTATAGAAACTTATATGGTAGAAACAAGTAAAATAGCAACTTTTTTAATACTTAAAATTGTTGTTATTTGTATGAAATATTATGCAGTTCGATAATAATCTCTAATGCTAATTTTTTTTTATTAAAAATCATATCATAAAAGATGATCAAATCTTTTTATACACAGTATAAACATAAGATGTAAAATCTCTAATAGTTATAACTATACATGAACTTATTTTGTGACTGTTATTTTTCAAAATTTTATACTATTAATGTAAAATCTTTTGTCTTTACTCTACAAAATAAACTGGTGGTGGGTTTTAAATTCTTGAAGATTTTTTCATTAATATAATTTTGCAAAAATTAAAGCAAAACTCAAGACATAGGATCCAATGAATATAGTAGGTGAATGAGAACATATACTAATCAAATTACAAAATAATTTTAGGGTAGTCTAAGAAATATGCAATCTTATCTTCAATTGTTTTGTCTTGTATTATGTTTTCTTTATAATAACCATTATTAAGTGTATTTAAAAACACATGGCTATGCATTTTGTATTCAACAATTTGTTAGATTTGCCAAAACACATTTTGAGTGCAGCTTTTCTTCAGTTGGTACAATAAATGAAATTGCCATTTTACTAAAGCATAATTGATTTAACCTTTATTGAATTTAAATGTAAGTGTGAAATAACATATCATATATAAATCTTAAAATGTAAATATATATAACATTCTAAAAAAAATGTCAGCCAGAAAAGCACTTTTGTTCAAAGATAAAATTTTATGTTCATTAAAAACTAAACCTATTTTAAATGCTAAATTAATGAGTGGAAAACTTAATTTTCAGAAAACAGTGTCACTGTTGAAGTAATCCAGGATAGTTTTATTAATATTTTAATTTATTAATGATAATATAGATGTATTGTGTTATTCATTAAATGTGTAACTTTCAGGTGGAAAATTCCCATATATTTTGAAGCTATGCTTTTCATTCTCAACTCCTCGTTTTTGAAGATTTTGAAGATATTTTAAAATATTTTGTTCACGAAATGAATCCAGTGTTTTCTTTAAAGATCTAAAGAAATTAGGAAGTATTTTCAGATCTTCATATATCACTATTGTGCATATTAATATTTTATGTCTATCAATGTGTCTTCATCTTTTAACTTGTAGAAAATTATTTGTTTTCTACATGAGATCAGTTTTGAAGATTTACCATTTATCTACATTTCCAGGATCTGTAGATACATTAAATGCATTGTGAACATGTTTAAGACAACACATACCTTTGTATTAGTGTAGTTTTTAATATAAATTAATATAAAGAAATTAAAAAAAAATTTATATAAAAATGGGTTCTTGAATTTATATAAAGATCTCTAACAATAGAGAAATTTTTATGTCATTCTGAAAATTTTCACTTAATCGCATTACATAGTATAATAAAATCATATAAAATATTAAACGAATAGTCATTCTGTATGAAGTTAACGAATTTTAATTGTAAAAAATGTCATTTTGATTTAAAATATGCAAATTTTTCATTTGTGACTAAACCGCATTTATGCTCATTATTTGGAATCTAAAACTGATGAAAACTTATTTTAATCAGATTAGCATTAACTGTTGTTTTCTATGTGAATTTCTGATTTATTACAGATTTGTTTATATGTAACAGAATTATTACATGAGATGCTCCAAAGACAAATTAGGAGCTGCTCTTTCTCGGTTAAATTTCATTAATACATAATTTCAAGAGTTTTTCTATTATTAAAATATAAACTGGACATTTTTTTAAAAAGTTTAACAATTAAATTTCGTTGTTAGGAAATTTTCCAATAAACTCAAATTACTAATATTTCTATTGGGAATTTTTTAAAGTTTTATATTTAATTTTATTTAAACTACATTCTTACAGCCAACCAGTCTGTATTTTGTATCTTGTTTTACTGTCAATTTCTATTTACATTTTTCATCCATTCGACATTATGTTGTTTTAAGCCATCGACTATTCTCTGTACAGTAGTGAAATGGAATGTATGATCATTGTTAAATAAAATGTCATTCTTTATCTAATCTTTCGCTATATTTGCATATTAGATTTTAAAAACATCATTTTTGTTCTTTATAAAGATTTTATTCAACAAATGTTTAAATCAGTGGTTCTCAACCTGTGTTTCGCTGCCCAAGGAAAAGAAAATAAATGAAAATTGAATGAAACTAAAGAATAAGAAACGAAAGGATTTAAAATAAAACTATAAATTACATTCTGAACGGAGATTTGCCAAGTTGAATTTCACGCCTTCTCTAGCAGATGACTCTTGGTTATTCCGCTGACACTAGCTCCAAAATTATTGTAACTGAGTGGGGCGCAGGGCTTTCGCTTGCCGCGTTTTAATGGCCCCGGAACTTGAATATTAGAGTGATTTCTTGGAACTGCATGTTCGAGAAGTTTCTCGCTCATTCTCGACTCTGAGAATTCCTGGTTCCGTTCGAAACTTAACCGCGAATAGAGGCTTGGTAGTCAATTTGGAGTCACTTCGCAGTGAATTCCCTACAGCTATAACATTGTGAATTATTAGCGAGTTATTTTTGTGTTTGACCTCTTTGATGTTTAATTGTGTAGTTAGTAAGTATTCATTAATCAAATATTGTTCTACTCGTACGTTCTAACCCCGAACTACTACGATACATTTCGGTAAGAAAACATTACATTATTCATTAATTCTGGTGCGTTTGTTGGTTTTCAAATTGTAAGTACAGTATAGCGTCGTTTATCCGAAGGTCGGTTATCCGAAGGAATTCCAGTCGACAAATTTAATTTTCGCCAGTGTTGTGGCGCTGTAATCTTTGGCTTTGTCTTCGGCTACTCAAATATTTTACGTTTTTGATACTAAATTAACTTCTGAAGTATAATTTTTTTATTGTTTTTATATTTTTCAATAGAGTGGAACCTCGGTATACGACCTTAATCCGTTCCTGGTGTTTGGACTTATACCGAATAGGACGTATACCAAACCAACCTTTTCCATAAGAAGTAATGTAAAAATGATTAATCCGTTCTCATGTAAAAAAAATTGGCTTTAAACACCTTGCTTTCCTGGCTAGTTTCTGCTTGATTTTTCATGAGATCAGCATGTATCCTTTCAACTTTCTCGCAAATAATTTCTTCCGATACGCTGTCTCCGGCACACTGTTTTTCAGTTATCCAAAGCAAAAGCAATTTCTCGACATGATCTAATGTCTTCGATCTCTGTTTACAAATTGATTTAACCCCTTTCGCAACGTTAGCAAATTTAATAATTTCTTTATTTTTCACGATTGTCGATATCGTTCTCGGAATACAGAATGCAACAGTTAAATCTCGAACACGCGTGCCACCTTCATATTTCTCAACAATCTCTTTTTTCAGTTTCGTTGTGATTCTAGTCACTTTTTTATTTTTCTGTTGCCCTTTTGCAATTCATGATTAATAAAAATAATAAAATATTACTTACAAATTAAAATCAAAAGAAATTTAACAAAGTTATAAACCAGGGGTGGCCAACCTTTTGCATACCATGCGCCAATTTTTTGACAGACGAGTTCAGATGCGCCATATAACTCGAACACTTTTTTATACAATCTTACGTTCAATGTTAGGGGTTGATAAATAGAGATAAGAATAAATCTGCTTCGCTTAGGAGGGAAAAAGGAATAACTTTATTACGCAGTTGAATTAATTAATTTATGACAGTTTATTGAAGCACCAATTTACAGTAATCAACAATAATCTCCTGTACGAGAGGGCTATTGCTTCATGATGGTGCTATTGCTGTCAGAGTCTCGTTTGGTGAAGATTACTCTGCACCACAATTATTGACACTGAGAACAAGATCAGCTTGGAATAACTTTAATCGCAATAAATGTTTTCGGCCATTTACACGCCTGTAAACTGATCGGAAATAAAGATCGCAATACTCAAAATACGTGCATTCACTGTAATTTACTATGTGGAGAACACTCATTTTATCTGCAAAATACACTGTAACGAATTGTGCAACAAATGAACTTGCCATGACAGACTATAAAAAATTTATTTTTTTATATAATATTCTTAATCGCAAAAAAGCCAAATCTGGCAATTTTACTCAGAACTAACTGAAGCGCCACTTGTAATCGTCCAATGCGCCACGTTTTGGCCACCCCTGTTATAAACCGTAGCACCGCGAACGTCTAGTCTGGTGTATTACATCGATAGTGCTACTTGTTCATAGATGGCGCGTATAATTGAATTAAGTCGTATACCGAACAGAAGTCGTATACCGAGCAAAATTTATTTCGTTCAAACAGGACGTATTCTAAAGCAGACGTATACCAAAGTTCCACTGTATATTTATTTTGTTTGTACAAAATAAAAAAAATAATTTTTTATGATACAATAGTGTTCGTTAGGCTTAACATCGACGAAAATTCAACGCGAAGCGACACGCAACGGAGAAAAATTTCAACACGGAATAAATTAATATATTTTTTCGTACATAATTGGTTATCCGAACAACCCCATTCCCCAATTGATTCGGATAAACGACGCTCTACTGTATTTGTATTTTGTTATAAAATTTTTATTTGCTTTATTTTGTATTATTGGTTACGAAAGATAAACTCTGTTGTTGTCATATTTCTTTGTGATTTTCTTTTAGGCGTGGATCGCTGGCTTTAAACAGATACTTTGAGGGGGGGATGTTTACATTTGAAAAGGATAAATTAGCAGCTCATTGCTAGTTTAGTTTAATTTATCGTCTCGCGAAGTAAGCTAGCAAGGAAACATTATAACTAAGCAATGCACTCCAGCGTTTGTTTGATAAATCTTTCCGCAAAATAAACCATTTCTGAATCTGCGACGCCACCTCAATCATTGTTTGCAAAACGTGACAAATGGGAGAAAGACCCCAATAAAAAACGAAAATAAGAAGAAAGTTATTTAGATTTACAGAAACAAATGGTCGGCCTCTGTGATTTGCGGAAATGTGTTGACCAACAGTTCCCTTTTTCCTGCTAAACTGCGGCGTTATTTAGAGAGAAACCATCCCGAAATGAAAGGTAAATCGTCTGATTTTTTTCAAGAGGAAATGCAACGAAATTTTCGCTTTACAGAAAACTATGACAACTCTTGCTAAAACCAATAATGAAAAAGTACTGGAAACTTCCTGCCTAATAAGTTATCGTGTTGCTCGAACTGGTGAAGCTGATGCCATTTCAGTGTGTGTTGTTACCTTCGATATTGCCACGTGTTTGTGTGAAAAAGATGTTGTTTAATCTCCAACATTCCTTTGTCAAATAACACCATTGCTAGACGAATCAGCGATATGGCTGATGACGTGAGACACTTATCAGTCGCATCAGGTATACCAAATTCTCACTACAAATGGTTGAATCGACTGACGTCGCCAGGTTGGAGGTTTTAATGGTATTTGTTCGTTTTGTTTACTTACAAAGCTATCAGGACCTATACCTATACAGACCACTACCGACCAATACATCGGGGTGGAATATTTAATCATTTGGATGGATTCTTCTCATCAAATGAAATACCGTGGGAAAACTGCAGATATATGTATTGATGGTGCAAAGGCAATGATGGGTCACAATGCTGAAGCCATTGCCAAAATTAAAGCTAAGGCAAAGAAATGTGACAGCAGCCATTGCGTTCTTTATAGACAGGCGCCTCGAGAAAAATGCCTTCTGAGATTATTATAGTGTTGAATGATGCTATAAAAATAATAAACTATATATAATCGCGATTTCTTAAAAGAAGGCTCTTCAAACTAATGTGTGAAGGTACGGGAAGCCACTGAGTCCCTCCTGCACACAAGTGGTGGTGGTGTCGAGAAAAAGCGTTGATGTTTGATAGAACTGCGGTCAGAGGTGACAGCATTTTTGATGGACCATAACGTACTACTGGCGACGGTTTTAAATGAAGCTGGGTGTGCGAACTGGCGTATTTGGCTGACATTTTTAGCAAAATGAACGAAATGAATCTCGGATCTCATTACAAAAAAAATTGTCGCAGTTTTTGATGTAAACGCCAAAGTGTCTGTTTTTAATTAAGAGGAAACTTATGTATTGGTTTGAATTCGTGGAAAAGGAAGACATCATTTGCTTCCCTCTTACAAAAAGCTTCTTGAATGAAAATAACATCAAAATTCAAGAAAAACACATAAAAATATTCAGCCGCATGTCAAAGCTTTAAAAAAACTCGTTTGAACATTATTTTCTGACCGGTAAAGAGATAGATGTATGAGAACTAGGGTTTCTCATTTTCCGGTCTTTTGCTTGTCCTGGGATTCCGGGATAAAAGTGAACTGTTTCTCGGGAAATCCCGGGACAGAATTAATTATTTTTAAGATATACAAAATATCATGAAATCAAATGATATAATTATTTTTCATTTTTTTAAAGTAATTTAATACGTTCTGCAACCTCCAAAATCATATTAATAATGCTGTATAAGATATATATTAAAAATTACCTTTGAATTACCTAGAAATTTTCACAAATAGAAAAAGTTTATTAAAGTTTGCTGGAAACTGCATACAACAACAAAATGCTTTGAATTGAGTTGAAAATTTAAAAAAAATGAACTTAGATCAAACTTNTTTGCTTGTCCTGGGATTCCGGGATAAAAGTGAACTGTTTCTCGGGAAATCCCGGGACAGAATTAATTATTTTTAAGATATACAAAATATCATGAAATCAAATGATATAATTATTTTTCATTTTTTTAAAGTAATTTAATACGTTCTGCAACCTCCAAAATCATATTAATAATGCTGTATAAGATATATATTAAAAATTACCTTTGAATTACCTAGAAATTTTCACAAATAGAAAAAGTTTATTAAAGTTTGCTGGAAACTGCATACAACAACAAAATGCTTTGAATTGAGTTGAAAATTTAAAAAAAATGAACTTAGATCAAACTTCTAACCTAAAAGGTAATTTTTCGTTTTTAAATAAAACATAATAAATATTATTATAAATTTTTATAAGATTTTAAAAAGCAAAGATGGTCGATACTCCGATCAGTCAATCTG